TTACTGGCTGTGTAAGTTCTACATCACTGTCATTAGCTCACTGTGATGGAATCTGTTGTCATGAAGCCCTGCCAGTTCACAAGTGGCTGCCTCTTTCCAAACTTGCAAATCATATAAAAATTAGTTTAAAGTGACACTAAACTCAGGAGTTAAATCTTAAAAATGCATTCTAGTACCTTAACTATTAACAATAATGTATCTTATTTGTGTATCGCTCGGCTGTAGATCCTCAAATCATCTCTGAATTGGTGCTGACACTGTCCTTCCTTCTGGAGGGTGACTACGTTTGTTCCCCATGGTCCCCGTGTGTGTTGTAAAGTAGTCACCGCTCCAAGCTCGCTCCTGTGATGGACTACAATCTCATATTTAGTTTACTCATTTGTATTGAGATTGTAGTCCATCACGGGAGTGAGCAGTGGCTACTTTACAACACAAACAGGGACCATGGGGAACAGACGTAGCCCCCCTCCAGAAGGAAGGACAGTGTCAGCACCAATTCAGAGATGATTTGAGGATCTACAGCCGAGTCATACACAAATAGGATACATTCTGTTAATATTAAAGGTTTAACTCCTGAGTTTAGTGTCACGTTAAAGCCGAACTTCAGGCCAACAGCAAAATACACACATAGAATCCATATAAAAGAGCTGTTTTACCTGCCATATCAATTTGTATTTCTACCAATCCAGTCCTAAGATTTATATAGCTCTGCTGCACAGCATAGCCCTGCTTGGCAAGGAAAAGGACCTGACCTTATTCTGACGCTATTTCACTTTTACTTACTAAGTCTCCTCTCCACCCCCATCCTCTGACTTGGCAGTGAAAAGAGAAGTAGCACAGTGATAAGCTTATCTCTCTGACACTTTGCTCTCTCCTGCTATCAGCATGCTCCTTGAAAGCACATGAGCTGACTGGCTCCTTGTGCTGCATCTTTGCTGTAAAGGGGCAGCAAATGTCTGATGCCAAGTCAAACTCTGGAACTTACACTGTTTGCATTAAAATATATACATTTAAGGACCTATTAATGATTACAGAGCTGCACTGATCTGTGTCTTTCATATCAGTCTGGAGTTGGCATTAGTTCAAAATATATGCTCACTGAAAACATACATTGCTGCCTGGACCACTGATATCAGAGACGGAGGATGTATGATACGTGTTGATGAAGCCCTACATCCCACACTTGTTGGGAAGCAAGGCCAGACATAGGGAACCAGAGACACACATGGAATACAGCACGGAAGCATTCTGTCTCTAGAGGGAAACAAGAGAACAAGGACTGGAGCTGTACGGAGGCAGGGTGGTCTACCCAGGGGGGGAAGACAAGGAAGTCATTCCATCGCACCAGACTCAGAATGTGGCAGAAAGTCCCATTTAAATCAATCATTCGGCACGAGCTGCTGAGTACACAGAGTCACCTTCGCTTTAAGAAAGACCCAGAGGTGAAAAGTTGAACATGGAAGAGGAAATCTACATGAAGGGAGTTCTATTCCATCCATGGAAAATAAAAAATGTTCCCACCGAACACGGCAATTCTGTGCTAGTGATTTCACCGCAGGGGCTACCGGCACAAGGAAAAGAAAGACAAGGCAATTGTACAAATACAAAATGAATGAATTATGAATAAACAGACCGGAGACCCAAGAGAAACTATTAACACGGGGGTCAGGTTATTGGAAAAGCAGAAGATTGCTGAAATGACGGAAAACATACCAATTAGCTCTTCGGTGCGATAAGTTCCTGACAGCAGGCAGCGCTCCCTCCTGCGACCCCGGACGGACGCGGGAGCGCTGTCATCATGTCGGTGAGGAGGAGAGAAGCCGCCCCGAGGATTGCCTGACTCAATGGCTTCATTTCCACTCGCCCCCACGCAATTTTCACTCGCAATTTGCGAGGGGGCGAGTGGAAATTTTGAGCCCTGATGTAGAGGATATAAGGAAGTACCATCATTGCAGTGGAGCAGAAAACAGGCTCCGGGGACCGAAACAGAAGCCAGTCGGCTCCGCAATTCGGCTGGGTATAACTTTTTTTTGAGGCACCTAGACAAAAATGAGCACTTAGCCCTTGTAGTGAGTGGGGTAACCCCACTGCAAGGGTTAAGAACATTGTTGCCCGGACTTCTGCTTTAAGCTGGCCATACTTTGGCCGAGTCCTGCTGATTCAACTAAAACCTGGAGTGGACCTGTTGGGAAGGGACCAGTGGCGTCACAAGGGGGTTGCGGCCTGCACCCAGGTGACACCAAAATGACTGACAGTCATTTTGGTGTCACCCCCTCAGAAAAGTCGGGCGTTCGGTCATGGATCGAGAGCCCGACAGTTGCAGGAGAGAGGAGGGGACCCGGCGACATACCTCATCCCACCGACTATCCCCTCCTCTCTCTGCAGGCGTCCATCACCAAGATGGCCACCAGCAGGTATCAATAAGATGGCTGCGCATGCACGATGACGTCACGGCGGGGGTCACCCAGTATCCGCTCCGGGTGACACCCGACCTCGGGACACCACTGGTTGCCGGTGTGCCACTGTGAAAACAATAGACCTGTAGGGGGAATTTCCCCATCCAACAGAGAGCATGATATTTACCTGGAAAAGCCTCACTTGTGTAGACATCCCAAAGCCCTGAAACTGATGCTGGGTGCCGCCATCCTGGATGTGACAGCAGCAGCCCCGGCAGGCTCAGAGATGTCACTTAAGTGACAGGCTCAAGCTAGTGCAGGCAACCTCAGCACATCGTCTGTACTGAAACTACAAATCCCATCAAGCCTCTGCCTGTGGAAGCCATGCCTGAGGCTGTCAGTGTATTACAATGGCTTATAGGATTTGTAGTTTCCTCAAAGCTGGAGGGCCAAGGTTGTCTAACCCTGATATAGATGTTCCAATACTTGTCACTGTCCATTACACTGAGCAGACTGGGCTGCTGCCTTCCCTTTAAAGCTGGCCATACACCAGTAGAATGTCAGTAATTACACACACCCAGAAGAGGAGAGGGGCTAGCAGCAAGGAGGGAGGGGGCTGTGCTGGGGAATTGACTTTCCCCAGAGTAGTCATGTTTCATGGGAAGTTCAGAGGGACATTGCAAGTTCATACAAAATATTTGATGGAGGAAAAACCCTTCAAGTAAGCAGATAAAATACTCGATTTGTTGTTTTGTTTAAAAAAACGGAACTCTGTTCTCTTTGTTTTTCCGGTGTCAGGGGTACCCGGGTGTAAGAGGACGCCACTCTGTTTAGACCTGGCTGCCCATAGACTAAAATTGGGCATCTGATCGGGTCTCCCATGTGAAAGGGGCATTAGGCTGTCCATACACACAGCACTCTATTTGTCAGGTGAAATAATCAATATTCAGAACTAGGGAAGCACCGATACCAATGCTAGTACTCGCCCAAATGCTCCGATACCTCCCCCGATACTGGAAGATTTCCTCTGACTGGCAGTGCCATAGGGGAACATAGAGCCGGCTTCCTGGGCAACCAGGAAGCCGGGTGGCAAGTAATGCCCGCCCACCGGCTTCCTGATTGGCCGGGAAGCCGGCTTCATGCTAATTTATAGAGGGGATGAGGTGTAGGGTGAGTAGAGAAGGAAAGAGGCGAATGATTGCTTATGGATGCTCACAGGTGCCAGCTCGATGCTGATTGGCTGGGAAGCCAGCTTACCAGTCAATCAGCATGGAGACGGGTTCCCAGCCAATCAGGAAGCCGGGCGGCGAGCAACGAACCCCGATGGCTGGGAACCCGTCTGTATGCTGGGAAGCCAGCTCCATGCTGATTGGCTGGGAATCCGGTTTCCCGGCCAATCACAATTGAGCCGGCCAAACAACATGGACCCGGCTTCCAGGGCAATCAGGAAGTCGGGCGGCATGTCATTACCCGCCACTCGGCTTCCTGATTGTCTGGGAAGCCGGCTCCATGCCAGTGGAAGCACCTATATCGGTGCTCGGTATCGGCAAGTACCAAAAGCAAAATATCGGTACTCTTTCTCGATGCCGAAAAACTGGTATCGGTGCATCCCTATTCAGAACAAATCTTACTATTAGTGATTTTTAATACCACTGATATCTCACTTGACTGAATTTCTGAATGAAATCAAAGACGTTAGCGATGAGATCGGTTGGGAAATTGTATTATTTTTAAGGCTTTTGTGTCATCTATGGGAGCAATCAGCTGTTTCTGGAACTAGTGATTTCAGTTTACTTTGGAGTTACCATTTGTGTTGCACTATTTGATCATTTAAATTAATATTAAACTCTCAAACTTTTTCAATAATGAATCCGGATCAAACAAATATACATTTACCCAGCAAAGTATTTCTTTATATTTTTGCCCAAACACTTACAGTAATCATGTTTCCAAACAGCTCCAACTCTCTCATCTCAGCTTCCCTAAACTTCCTGTACATTACAAGATCACAAGGGAGGGAAATGTCTTGCCCTGCTGCGCATTTGGGGAGACACATGCAGCTTACTAGCACACACTAGGGTGGCTCCATAGGACTTTGCAAGGGAAAGGAGCCACCCTAAAACAGGATATCAGGGCCAGTGCCCAGGGGACCAGCTGATTCTGATGGAAACTAAAAAACTTTTAAACATCAAGGAGCAGCATTCATTGTAAGTGATTTCATCAGCATTTGAAAGAGCGTAAAAAACATTTGATTTTAAGATCACTTTAAGAAATGTGTTTGATTAAAACTACTGGATGAAGTAGTTGATCACATGAAAAACTGTTGTGTGTATGGTCAGCATAACACTCATAGGAGGCATTGGCTTTCCTCATGCAACACGGCTGCACTGCCCTGAAGACTGAGAGACATAAATTAAAAACAGAAAATGATCGGGCCCCCAATTATTTTCCATCTTTTCAGCAGGCAACACACATTGTAAGGCTTGCAAAACAATTTCCATCTTTCCCAAATGACTCTCAGCATTATATCAAATGGGCGTTGAGTCAACCAACTAAGGCACCATTATGGGGGATGTATATTCAGACAAAATAATACAGGCATACCAGGCTCTTTTCCATTGACAACCGCAGTGCCGTTCTCAGCATGACATTCCCCATCAGAGCTGGGTCTCTCTGTTGACAGTTTCTGGAACAAAAACATATGAATAATATTTATCATGTCTTAGGTATTACATTATGAAATAGAATGAACCATTCCTATAATCTGGCTACAGACTATGCTAGTGGCTACTTTACAACACACACGGGGACCATGGGGAACAAAAGTAGCCCCCCGCCAGAAGGAAGGACAGTGTCAGCACCAATTCAGAGATGATTTGAGGATCTACAGCCAAGTGATACACAAATAAGATACAGCATTGGTAATAGTTAGGGGACTTGAATGTATTTTTAAGATTTAACTACTGGGTTTAGTGTCACTTTAGTTCTGCTTTACGACACTGCATACAACTTCGAGTTCATATTGTGGTAGACGTGTGCTCTATACCTTTTCCAGTTCTGTCTTTGGTAGTGGAGAGCTTGAAGACTGCCCATCCGAGTCCACAGGTCCGCTAAAGCTGCTGCACACTTCTTTTATCACCTGCAACAAATACATCAGCCAAACGTTAGAAACAATACAAAAGTACAGAGTGATAAGATCTAACCTGTAACCAAGGCTAAAATTCATTGATATGGCACCCATAAGCCTGGATGAATCTTAAAGGAGAACTATGAGGGGAGTGCTTTTCACTCCCCTCATAGTTCTAGCCGACCTGTGACAATGAGACTGTCACAGGCCGGCTCAGTAGATCGGGAGGTGAGCAAACACATACCGGCGTTCGCTCACCTCTCGATCCTGTCACGGCTCTCTGCCGTGACAGGGGAGGGGCTGCAAACAATTCTGCCAGAGATCTTGTTAGGTACTGAGCTGATAACTTCATGTGCTCTCTGCCTCTGCTGGCTGTCATCAGCATTGTTCCCGGTTCTCTCAAATCAAAGTAAGCAATTTAAGTACAGAAGAGGAACCTGTACAACTGTGCAAGACTGAAAGGGAAGGCCGGAGTTCAAAGTTAAGTGTTTTACTTGACGTTTGCCAGTGAAAACAAATGTCATGGCCATCATTTTTTTTTCTTGGGTCCTGTTGGTGGCTTTAACATTGTCAGAATGTGCTGACATCTAACAAAAGGCACACATGACCAATCTAAACAAAAACACGAGATACCACAAAACACAAGATTAATTGGTCTCCATCACACAGGGCTCGGTAATTAGGGGGGAAAATGCCCAAAATCAACAAACACACATTGACGCAACCTCTTCCACAGATCATAATGATCTAATTAGTACAGCCACAATAGTTTGGAGAATGCAGGGAACACTGTGCAGAATGTATACTTTGGCAGATAATGGGAGAACGTGTGGCCAGCAGATGCAGCATATGGTGAGGGCTACAGGTGTCTAAACATGATCCAGAAGTGCTTAGCAATTACAGAATGCCACATATCATGAGGTCAGCATCTTACTATGACCCAAATACAGGTCAATGACTGACTGTACTATAGGGGGGCACCAGAGTACAGGTTATCAGAGACCACAGCAGAAAGTCACGGGGTAAATTATTTTTTGGGAGTCCCCCACCATTTAACACAATGTTGTCTGAAGTAATTGGAGATAGCTTTTAATACAATGGGGTATGTCTTCTTTTTTCATTACGCCAAGCATGTTTACCTCTGCAAAACCGGTTACTTCCTTTGCTAGCCATACCCATGTAGATTTCTCCTGTTCAGCTCCATGGCCTGAATGAGAGAATTTACTCAATTGCATCCACATTTAACAGCCATCTCCATCTGCGGCTGTTTAAATACCCAAACTGTCACTGCATCTGATAGAATACAGTCAATGAGGGGCCAACAAATTTTCACCTGGCTCCTTTGAGTCTCAAATTGAGTTTAGTCGAGTGGTGGTAACGGGGCCACCAATGGCACATATTTTGGGCAATTCAGCAGAAATCAGCCCAAATTCAAACCCTTCATGGATAGCTAGAATGAATAAAGTCCATTGCATGGAGGAATCCCTTTGGCAGGTAGACCAGCATGGATGGAGGAATCCCTGTGGGGGGTAAAGTAGCATGGATGGAGGAATCCTTGTGGGGGGCAAAGTAGCATGTGACTGCTGGATACCCAAACAGCACATGCATCTGATTGGCTCCGAATTTTTGTATCGCCTCCTTCGCCAAAAGTCGATCGAAAAATTGATTTATGTCCAGCAGGGGGGTTCAGACAGGACCACCCATGGTCTGAATCTCGAGCAGTGTATGGCCAGCTTTACCCACAGCTGCCTCACTGCAAATTCAAATCTGGCAGTCCTGGAAGGAGACATACGGTTCCATGAGAAGAGAAATGGCCACTGCACACTTAATACCAAGCACATCAGCGAATAAAAAAAACGCTTACTAAAATAACTTTGTGAATTTACAAATCTCATTGTCCATCTTTCCTCCTCAGTTGTCCATCTTTGTGACCTGATGTATAGACCTCTACAAAATGTACTATTTAATGCCCACTTGAGTGCTGATGTTCCGCAGACATCTCTTACATACTTGTTTCAGGTCAGTGACTCTAAAAGTATTAAAACTAGAGACAGACATTCAACTAACATTTCCAGAAGGAGGGCAGCAATTCAAAGATCCCAACTGTGCCTCATTTGGAGGGACTGCCCCTCTTGGAACTAAATCCCTCAATCCCTCGTTTCACCTCTGTTGTCCCTCTTTTTACTCTGATGTATAGACCTCTGTAGAAGGCACTTTTCATTTTACACCAAACAAATACATTCCAAGTGCACCATAACAAAAGAAGTTCAAAGCATTACAGTTCATTTTCCTTGGACAGCAGCCGCAGCTTGAATAATAAAGCCTGTCCTCTGCCAGAATGCTGTAGAGAAGGTCCCTTGGGCAGAAACAGTGGTCTCCTGCAATGGTCCCACATGTTCCCTTATTGTCAGAGCTAGAGCTCCCCAATCAGCAGGGACCAAGGGCTTTGTTGATGCAGCACCATAGATCTGATTTAGCAGGATGGGGGCATGGGTGTTGAACCTCTGTAGAAAGACAACTGCTTCCCTACAGAGAGCAAGGGTCCTTCCCTGCAGCATGCTGGCAGGTAACAGTCTTTTCTACTCAAGCTGTGGTGGCTTTCTAAACAAAGCAAACCGTAGGACTCACCTTTTGCTTTGATGCCCCTGATATTGTATTTAGTTCATTTTATACTAACAGAGTCTTAAATAGTGCAATTTTAGAGGTCAAAAAGGGACAACTGAGGAGGAAAGGGGGACAAATTGGAATCCCAAAGAGGGACTGTTCATTCAAATGAGAGCTAGTGATTGCTGCCCTCCTTCTGGAAATGTTAGTTGCTCGGCTGTCTCTGGTTTCAACACTTTTTGAGTCACTCACCTAAAACAATGAACTAATGTGGATGCTAACTGCACACCTTAGAGCTATCTGACCATTGGTGATAGGTTAGGTGCTGGAAGTGAACGCTATGGATGGTGCCGTGCAGATACTCAGGAATGTGGCGATAGGTCACCAGCACTAAGTCACTTAATGTGCAAGAGAGAGTATAGTAATCTCTCTTGCATATTAACTAATTGAGTGCTGGTGACCTATTGCCACATTCCTTAAACAAGTCTGCAGAACATCAGAACCGCGCACTTATGGGCGGGTAAGGTAGGGTCTTATCCACCTAATAGAGTGGGCTACCGATTAACTTTTTCAGCAATGTCAGCCTATGTTCTGGGATAGAAACAAGAGGCTGTGCAGGAATATAAATATGCAGAGTCAGTACAAAGAGTATTGAAAATACATTCACACGTTCTTTCCTGTTGAGGCAGGAAAAAAAACTTTTTCCATACACAGAAGATAATGTACAGCATATTTCCGGGATAGAAGCAAAGGTCCACTTAGGATCATTTCGTTTTCCCATAGTCAGTCTCATGGAAGCAGCCATAAATAGGACCGTGTTGGTCTTTAAGACAATTATTTATACTAGCCACATGAGTATTTCTTAAATTGTCTTTTTTTATCAGATTAAACATTCCTGAGTTTTTGGCTGGGTCCCGCTTGTTTGTCTTGCTGACTCAGCGCTCAACTGTGAACACAGCCAGTTCCTCTCTACCCCACAGACAGCTTCAATCTCAGCTCAGCTGGCAACACAAAGCTCATTCTGTGTTAACTGCACAAGGGCTCTGATTAAATATATGTGATGAGCAGGAGATCTGGCTAAGGCACAATATGTTCTAGGCACTGTAGAGAGCCAGCACGAGTCCTTAGTGATCCAAAGTTTCTGCCCAAAAGACTTCAAATTGGTTAAAGAAGCAGTAAATCACAATCACTGAGCAGCACTACTAAGCACAAAAACACAACTTTTAAACCTTATACAGCTGGCCAAACATTGGTAATTTTTTCTCGTTCAGCCCTGAAGGGTGAAAGAAAAAAAACAACTCTAGATTGCCCCATCCACGGGGATGGGGAAATCTCCCCTGCTGGGCTATTGTATTCCGACAGCCAGTGACCACAGCTGTTAGAATGCCTGAATAGTGACTGCAGATACTGTTGGGCTCATGATTTTCGCCCTGGTTCCTTCAACAAAAGTCGACTGAAAAAACTATTTTTGTGGTATAGACAGGGCCGCCCAAAGCTCGGATTTGCTGACTCAGCCAAAATGCAAGCAGTTTATGGCCAGTTTTAACAGATGTCGTTAAGATTATTTTTATTACTTTACCTAAAGTACACCTAAAGCTGGCCATATACTGCTGACTCAGCTCAAATTCAAGCAATGTGTGGCCCCCTCAGGATCCCCTTTCTCCACGTCAGAATACCCAAGCAGTTGGCTGCAGTCGCTGTTTGGCTGGGAATTTTCGAACCGGTTCCTACTTGATTTCTGAATGTCGACGGAGGAAATCAGTTGCATGTAGCATCCAGTAAGTGCATCCAATCAGCTGCTCCAATCACTAGGTGGGTATTCT